CGAATTTTGGTAGTAATTTAGTGTATGACTTTAGCATTTTCTACAAGGGCATCTAATACCAGTTCATGCTTTACAATACGTTGATGAAATGCTAACGATCGTATGAGAATTAAGAACAGGCTTACGTGACATAAAATTTAAGGTGTATTTGATTTGGATTTAATGTAATTGGAGAGATAATTATTTATTTAAAATTAAAATTTATTTGTGGTTTCTGTAACTTTAGCTTCACTACATACAAGACTAAATATGTCAAAACAATTAGTCTGAAGCTATTAAAAACCCCAGCTAATTTAAAACAGATGCAACATTAATTTAATGTTTGTAATTTCGTAAGTTTAATTGGTAGATTGGAAACTGCAGAAAGCATCTATATTCTCTACATAGTAGTGTGACTACTATTTTTTTTTTTTGGGTAAAAAATGTGACTACTATCTAAAATCCTCAAAAAAATTTAAAAAAAAATTTACAATATTTGTAACTCAATGATTGCCCTTTTTTTGGACAAACAATGATTGTAGTGTTTGTAGGTATCTCTATTAATATTAATTTTTTATTTTTTTTTCAAATATAAACCATTTTTTGATTTGTGCGTGTCATCCTTGCTAATTTTCTCTGTATCGTTCCAATTTTATCGGATGTACCCAAAGAAACTTTTTTCTTTTTTTCCATGAAAACATAAACTTAATCTAGTCTATAACCCACACATACAAATTTAAATCTACAGCTATAATTACGTAATTCTCACACCCAATGAGTATTATTTTTGTTACTATTACACTTTGGTTATATCTTTGCTCGATTTCCCTTTATAATAGTAGTATAGAAAATCTCAGTTTTATTTTATTATCATAACAAATCTCAGTGTTTTCCTAAAGTAATTAATTGTTGTGATAATATTCTTGGAAATGTGTTTCTTGGTTGTTAGAACCTTCCAGTGTACTTAAATTTCCATTAATTACAAACATGGTTTATTAAATTGTGAGTATAATAACTTTGCGTAAAAAATGGTTTGAAGCAAAACCAAAGTAAAATGTACGTGGACATCCGTGGTTAGTTTAGAATATGTTCTTTAACCA